GGGGTGCTGGGGAACGCGGTCAGTGGCTCTCATACTGCTGGGGTGCTGGGGAACGCTGTCAGTGGCTCTCATACTGCTGGGGTGCTGGGGAACGCAGTCAGTGGCTCTCATACTGCTGGGGTGCTGGGGAACACGGTCAGTGGCTGGTCTCATACTGCTGGGGTGCTGGGGAACGCGGTCAGTGGCTGGTCTCATACTGCTGGGGTGCTGGGGAACGCGGTCAGTGGCTGGTCTCATCCTGCTGGCCTGCCAGTGGAGCGGGGCCGGGAGCAGGCTGGATGAGCATAGGCCCAGACCACACAGAGAGCTACTGGTCAGTGCTCTTCTTGAACAAGTGCCTTTTCCCCGGTTCATTTTCAAGGTCCTGATCCTGACAGAATTACAGTTTTCCCTTTTTCTTGGTACTCTGTTGGAAGAGTGACTTTGGGGGTCCGTCCATCCTTTGCTGTTTTTGCAGATGACATCCAGGTTATTCCTCCTGAGAACAACCTGAGGTCCAGAAGGTTTTGCTGCAGTTCCTCTTTCTTTGTGTGATTGGTTTTGTTGTAACAGACGTTCCTAGATCTTTTTCTGGATTGTGTTCTGGAATTCCCTGTGATCAGAGCCACTATAGACCTTTGTTTTCTCTGGGACCTCTGGACTCATTTGTCTTATTTTCTTCCCTTGTTGCTGTGGTAAAATCTTTGGGAAGAGCAACTTGAAAGAGAATGTTTTGGCTCCTAGTCAAAGGGTCCAGTCCATCGTGTTGGGGAGGGCATGGCAGAGGAACCACAGGTAACAGGCCACATTGCATCATCCATGGTCAGGAAATAGCCTTTTCCTTTGCAGGCTATTCCAAGACCGGGGGTGGGGCCGGCCACTTTTAGGATGGGTCTTTCCACCTCAATTATCATAATCAAGATAATCTCTCATAGGCATTGCCTGAAGAAATCTAATCTAGAACCCCCCCCCCAGCATGACTAGAAGGACCTAGTCTAGGTACCCCCACAGGCATGCCCAGAGACTGTCTTATAGGTAGTCGAGATCCTATTTGGTTGATTGTCAGTATTAAACTTCATCCCATCATTTCCTTGGGAATCAATCTGGGTTCTGGGATGGAAATCAGGTCAGCAAGCTTGGCAGCAGCCACTGATCCATCTCACCAACCCCTTCTCTGACTACAGACTCTCTGCTCTTCTGTTGAATTTTTATTTCCAGTATCTTTTAGATTTTTTTTAAAGAACTCTTATTATTTTTAATTATTCTGTATCACATCTATTTTATTAAAATTATTAATTATCAATTATTTTGAAATTATTTCATATCACATTTTATTATTCTGTTCTGGTTTCTTTGTCAACCTGAAGGTAGTAATTACCATTATTTATTTAAAATTACAATTTATTTACTTATTATTTTCCTCTGCTCCCTGTACCCATACTGTCTCCTTAGGTTTCTATTTGTCTTTATTGGCTATTTATTCATAAGTATATGTCAATTCAATGTATTTACTTTAAAAGTTGTGTGAAGTGTGCAGACTAAAATTGTTTTTAGATTGTGTATTTTATGTTTTATTTGCATGTATGTTTATATACTGTGTGTGTGCCTGGTACCTGCATAGTTCAGGAGAGGGTGCTGTATCCCCTGGAACTAGAATTGTGGATAGTTGTGACCTACCATGTGAGTGCTGGGAACCAAACCTTGGTCTTCTACAAGAGCATCTGGATAGTGCTTGTAACTGTGAAGCCATCTCTCCAGCTTTGAAACAAACAAACAGACCAGAGTCAAGAAGATTCCTTTCCTCTGGGTTTGGATTCATGTGAATTGGCTCAGAGAGTCAGTGTTAGGGGGAAAAAGGCAGGGGTAGGTGGGGAGTACTGGTGGAGGTGGTGTGGCGGGGTGTGGAGGTGGTGGAGGTGGTGTGGTGGGGTGTGGAGGTGGTGGTGGGGTGTGGAGGTGGTGTGGTGGTGTGGTGGGGTGTAGTGGTGGAGGTGGTGTGGTGGTGGTGGTGGTGGAGGTGGTGGGGTGTGGAGGCGGTGGTGGTGTGGAGGTGGTGGTGGTGTGGAGGCGGTGGTGGTGTGGTGGCGGTGGTGGTGTGGAGGTGGTGGTGGTGGAGGTGGTGTGGAGGTGGTGTGGTGGCGGTGGCGGCGGCAGCTGGTGGTGATGCTTTGAGCAGTGGTGGTTCATGCACGGAAGGTGAGCTGCGGGTTTTGTTTCCCCAGCCTTCCTCTCACCGTCTCTCGTCTCTTTCCTGATCTTTTCTTGCCACAGACTCAGGCTCACATTTGTCTCAGACAGCGTTGCCTTGTTTTGTTTTCACATCTCTCTCAGTGTGGTTGCTTCCGGAATGTTCTTCCTCTTGCCTGAGTCTCCACACCGAGATCCACCTCCCCACCATCCCTCCTTCCCTTCCCCTGGAGGACTCAGATCTTTTAAAGTGCTCTGAGTTACTTTATATACTATATAATCCACCATCCTGTGTACCGTGTTGGCTGCCTCAGGCCTCGCCATGTTCACAGGCTTAGACTGCCGGTCAGCCTCTGGTAACAAGCCGCTTCTCACAGCCCCACAGTCCTGTCAGCCTCTGGTAACAAGCCGCTTCTCACAGCCCCACAGTCCTTTCTGCTCCACTCACATGCTCTCCTGAGATGGTGAGGAATCACTTCTTGTTTTGTGTGGTCTCTTTGGCTAGAAAGTTCTTTTGCTAGACAAAAGGAAATCAGAAAACATTTATTCAAAACTACCTTTTAATGGTGTGTGTATGCTTATATGTGTGGGTGGACGTGCACAGGCATGTGTGGGTGGGTGGTGCATGTTTGTAAGTTGGGAGCAGGTATGCTCATTTGGAGGACAGAGGACAGCTTTGGCTGTCTGTCTTCACCTTATCCCTTGCATGAGACAGGGTCTCTGTTTTTGCTCCTGTGTGAGCCAGGCTAGCCAGTCTGCAGTCCTCCTGGTTCTGCTAAACATGGGATTTGCCTCTGAAAATACTCATCCCAGAACTTTTTTTCAAGACAGAGTTTCTCTATGTAGCCTGGAACTCACTCTATAGACCAGGCTGGCCTCAAACTCAGAGATCCTTCTGCTTCTGCTTCCTGAGTGCTGGGATTAAAGGCGTGTACGACTACCACCTGGCAAGAGCTTTTTATTTATTGTACTAAAATAAATAATTTCAAGGCTTTTGAGTTCAGAGCCAAGAGGAGTTTTAATCATAATTCTACACACAGGTTCTTTATAAAGTCCTTATGTTCTTTGATACTGTAATTACTCAGTTCTAGCTGTGTGAGAGGCAGATCTTCAGATGATATCTCAAGGCAGAGTTTTCAAGTCTGGAAATCACAGTAGGATCCTGAGTGTAGCTTATAGTATGTGGGAGGTGGCACTTGGTCCAGTCCTTTGCACCTCACAGAAAATGAAAATAGCTACGTAATTTTTAGTATATTTCTAGCGTATTTTTAATATATAATATAAATTTATAATATAATAAATATATAATAATTTAATATTTAATATATAACATCAACTTAGATGACAGGAGAGAATATTCATAGTAAATTAGAATATAGGTTAGGAAACTAGTCCATATTAATTATAAAGGAAAACGGTATAAATAATGTGTAAGCTAATTACTAATTCAGTCTACCATATGGTTACTTGAATTGAAAAATGATAGACTAGTACAAAGATCTGTGTCCTTTAACTCATCCAAATGTCCTCTGGGAGTCTGTGTTACAAAGTTGCATTTATTTATGGGTGTCTGTGCCTGTGCGCACACAGGTGTGGAGGTCAGAGGGCAACCTGCAGGAGGTGATTCCCATTCCACCGTGTGCACCCAGGGAGTGAACTCAGACCGTCAAGCGTGGTGACAAGTGTCTTCGGCCACTGAGCCATCGCATTGACCTTGCTTTTGTTTTGTTTTGTTTTGTTTTGTTTTGTTTTGTTTTGTTTTGTTTTGAGATACTACATTATAGCACAAGCTGGTCTCTAATTGTGGCAATCCTTCTGCCTCAGCCTCCTGCATGCTGAGATTCAGGTGTGTAGCACCACACTCAATTCGTTTAAAAAAAAGATTTATTTTAGTTTGTATGTACGTGCATGTTTATGGGTTATGTGCATGAGTGCAGTGCCCACGGGGGCCAGAAGCAGAGGCAGGATTCCCTGGAACTGGATTGTTTAGAGCCGCCATGTAGGAGTTGGGGACCAACCAGGTCCTCTGGAAGGGCAGTCGGTGCTCTTGACTGTGGAACCGTCTCTCCAGTCCATTTCAAACTTAGGTTTTATAATGTATTTATAGAATGAGAATTATGAGCATTTCTAATTTGTTCTCTGTTGCCTGTTTTTTTTTTTTTTTTGTAGACATCTCTTGCTAATACATAGAGTTCTACATAATATTTAGATGACTACATAGTATTCTGTTTTAGAATGTGCTTTATGTAGTCCCCTATGTGGGTTACTCTCTGATTTTTGTTAAAAATATTTTCTTAAAACTCTCATGTATCCTTTGCACATTTTAGTTTCTTAGGATAAACTTAGGAGGTGGTGTTGCTGTGTAGCGTGTCCTTTTTTTTATTTATTTTGATCCTGGTTATCATATTGCCCACCGGGAAGGATTAGCTTTGTGTTAGCTGCACCGGCGAGAGCAGCGTTTGCGTTTGCAGCTTGGGCCGTGGTTTCCAAGAGCAACGTTCTCCCTGAAACGGTTGAGTTGTGAGACGATAACGTGTGGGACTTGATCACTGTATGCTCTTCTCCTCTTAGATAAGTGACCGAGGAGGTGGTGTTCCACTGAGGAAGATTGACAGACTCTTCAACTACATGTACTCCACTGCACCCCGGCCTCGTGTTGAGACGTCCCGCGCAGTGCCCCTGGTAGGTGACTCAGGGAGGCCGTGGTGTCTGTCAGCCGTCATTGGGCTGGGTTCCACCAAACTAGCCAAGCCAATTGCACAGGGGCTCCCAGGGAAGGAAGATGCTTTGGAACCTTAGAGACAAACTTCTGTTAAACAGTCCTGGGATTAATTTTCAGTTGAAATAGGTACAAGAGAGATTACAGTTTCCTGCTGCTCTTGACAGCTTTCTCTGTGGTGAACCCTGTGTGACAGTATATTTTAATATGGAGATCAAACTATGGATTGTAGTAATAATTGGTTAACATTGGCTTAATCTTTAATATTGATGTTTCCCCCTCAAGTATTTGTATTTAGAAAGACCCCATTGTGTAGACTCAACAGAAATTCTGATCTCTTTGTATTTTTTTTTTTTGAGACATGGTATCACTATGAAGCACAGGCTGGCCTTTAGCTCACAGAGAGCCAACTGCCTTTGCCTCCAGGGTTCTAGAATTGAAGACCTATGGCACCACGCTCACCCAGCTTTTTACATTTTTTAAAAATGTATTTTTATGATTGTATGTGTATGGGTGTTTTGGTTGCATGTAAGTAAGTGTGCCACATGTACAGCCCCATGAAGACCAGAAAGGCTGTTGAATCCCCTGGAACTGGAGTTATAGATGGTTGTTAGTCACCAAGTGGGTACTAGGTACCAAACCTGGATCATCCTTAACTGCTAAGCCATCTCGCCAGCCTTCAGGTTTTGATCTTTTAAGTTCACCTGTCTGAACCTCAAATTACAGTTGTTTAGGTGCTGTTGACTCTCAGTGGTACCCCCTGAACAAAGCGCCCTAACGGGAGAGGCGGACAGCGACTACCATGACTTCGCCTTCTGTCTTGCTGATTCTCCAGCGCAGGGCCCTCTGGGAGCTGAAACATGAATACAGCTGAGCCCTAGGCTGGGAATTGGGTAGTTGACTTGGAGGGACACACTGAGTTTAGAATTGTAAAATCATTAGTGCTAGTGGGATGACTCAGTGGGAAACTTTGCCTCACCGTCCCGATGACATCATTTGATCCCCAAATCCCATGGTGGCAGAAGAGAACCAACTCCTGGAAGTTGTCCTCACCTCCACGCATACAACATTATGCACACATGTCTGTACTCATAAGCACAAAAATAAAATAATATAAAAAAAGAAGCCAAGGCCTAAGCATGTTATTGGTGCAGTGACTCTTCTGTTCACACAAACACTGACTAACATCTGTGAGGAATGCCACCAAAGGCATGATTGGGAGATGGAAGCCATTTTTACCTTTATCCAAGTGTCTGTGGAGTCTCTCCAGATGCTGGAAACATGTTGAACAAAGATCCACAAGTTCTGTGTTTAGGGAACTCAGGGAAGGAGGTTGGTTCTGCTAGATAGGAGAGCAGGAGGCAGAGACCTGCTCTTGTCTCAGAAGCTCTCTCTAGAAGCTGGGCTTTTTGTCTCCAGGGCAGGGAGTGGGTGGTGGAGTAGGGGTTTGCTGTGAAGATTTTGGAGCAGGGAGGTGATCTGTCAGTGAGGATCAAGAAAGTGGACTGTTACATATTATCTCCAGGTTCAGAACAAAGGCTGGAAATCCACGGTGTGAAGTCCTGAGATTCTTACCTGTTGCTGGTAAAGCTGCAACAAAGCATTTCTTAGTCTTGTTCCTAAATGAAACCGTGTGCTTTATATGAAATTGCCAAGAGATGTCCTGGGGCGCCCTGGGGCACGACAGCAAAGGAAAGCGGTGTGCCTTCTGCAGACCACACAGTTATTTATAACAGCAAAGGGCTTTGGGTCCAGAACTGAGGCGTTGATGGGCTCAGCCTAAGTCCAGCTTAATCCTTCCTCGTGGTTGTGTTTTACAAGCTCTCTCGGTCCATAGGCCAGCGGCTCTGCAGTGGCATTTATCTTAGTTAGAAAAGTGTTTCAGGGTGCGGGTCTCTGAAAAGAACTTTGTTTTCTCATTGAACAGGCTGGTTTTGGTTATGGATTGCCCATATCACGCCTCTACGCACAGTACTTCCAGGGAGACCTAAAGCTGTATTCCTTGGAGGGCTATGGGACTGATGCAGTTATCTATATTAAGGTAATAACCAAAGCTTCCTGAGTTAACTGTATTGAAAAATATGTTTATTTCTTTTTTATTTTTACATGTATGTCTGTGTACAATGTATGTGCCTGGTACCCTCAGAGACCAGAAGTGGGCATTGGATCCCCTGGAACTAGAGTTACAGACAGTTGTGAGCCACCATGTAGGTGCTGGGAACTGAACCTGGGTCCTCTGTAAGAGCAGCCAGTGCTCTGGACCACTGAGCCATCTCTTCAGCCCCTTGTCCAATTGTTTTAGTGGTAAGGAAAGGTACCGAAGAAAAAGTATGATGCTATTTAACAAATGTAGTGATAGTTACATAGGAATGTACCCATTTTGATAGTTGAGGGCAGTGGGGAAAGAAATAGAAAATTAGGTTAAAGTAGAAAATCCTAAGTGTACAAGAAAGACCCTGGGTTCACTCGACAACACTGAAAAAAAAAAAAAGAAAAAGAAAAAAGTGATTTGGTTTTAATTGACAAATATGACTAGTCACTGATCTGCTCTTTAAAAAACTAAACAAAAACCTACGTTTGTGTGTTTGTTTGTTTATTATGTGTGTGTTCATGGGTGTGCACATGCAGGGTGGTCAGAGAACAACTTTCCAGAATTAGCTCTTTCCTTTCACTGTGTGGGTTCTGGAGACTGACCACGGTCCTCAGGCTTGGTGACAACCGCCTGTAACCGCTAAGCCATTGTGCCAGGCAATAGTAACACCCAGCCTTTGTGTGTGTGTGTGAACCCATGGCCTTCCACATGTTAGGCTAGTGTTCCCCAACTGCCAGTAAATAATTATTCTTTTTCTAAAAAAATATTTACTTTTGTTTTCTACGTGTGAGTGTTTTGCCTGCATGTATGTATACCCCACATATGTGCATGGTGCCCATGGAGAAGACAGCATCAGATCCCCTGGAACCAGAGTTACAGATGATTGTGAGCCACCATGTGGGTGCTGGGAATCAAACCCAGGTCCTCTGCAAGAGCAGCAAATGCTCGTAACTGCTGAGCCACCTCCCCAGCCACCTAAAGTAGTTCTTTTGAAAATATGTATTTATTATTTAGAGTGTGTTGTGTGTGGGCATGTGTGTGTGGAGGTCAGAGGGCAATGCTGGAGTCCCTTCCTCTGACTGTGTGGGTCTTGGACATTAAATTCAGGTCTTTAGGCTTGATGACAAGCGTCTTTACCTGCTTGAGCCATGCATATACACAAATAAATAAATGTAATAATAATATTGTAAAAGCACTAGTTCCGTGGTTAGTGCTCTAGTTTCTTGTTCTGGCCACTAGATGGCACCTATTTTATAGGCTATGCTCAAGAATTTTGTGGGGAAAAGTTGGCCTGAAAAGATTAAATTCTCATAGCCACAATATTTTTATTCATTCATTCATTCATTCATTCATTTATTGTTTTATTGATATCTTATGTTATTGGTGTTTTGCCATGCATGAGTGTCGGGTTCCCTGAAACTAGAGTTATAGACAGTTGTGAGCCACCATGTGGGTACTGGGAATTGAACCCAGCTCCTCTGGAAGAGCAATCAGTGCTCTTAACCACTGATCCATCTCTCCAGTACCACCATGTTATTTTTTAACATGTCGTTGTGAGGAACTTAAATATGATACTATCAGTGAAGTATTTTTAGCACTTAATGTAATGTTTTGATGGATGTTTAGACTACTCAAAGAGCACACAGGTGGGAAGGTTTTCTACTTGGGAAGAACTAGAATACTGGCATTTTAAAGGAGTCATCGTACACAGTCACATCAAAGACCTCATTGAGCTTGATCAGGAGGAAATGACCGTTCTGTATTGTCAACATCTTGGGAAATACAATGGCCTATTGTCAAAACTCTGAAAATTCCTGCTGTGAAGACAGTAACAGAAAGTGTAGTTTTTGGCTGGTTTCCATTGTTTACAGGAAGCTGTAGGGCAGTGAACGAATGATTGTGTTGAGGAAACAGAAATCATGTTCAATGACCCAAACTGACTCTAATGGAGGAAGAAGAAACCACAGTATTCGGACCAGAGTGTTGCTCAGTGATAGAGTGCTTGCTTCCCATACAAGACTCTACGTTCAGTCTCCAGCACTGGGTACTGGGTGGGGGGCAGAAACAGGAGGTCCAAACAAGGGCCAAGCACTGCCCTTGGGAAAGCCAAGATGTCTTAGATTAGCTTAATATTAATGATGAGCAGATTGGTGTGTTAAGTTTTTAATTTTTTTAAAAGATTATTTTATGGGCATGAGTGTTTTGCCTACATGTATGTTTGAGTACTAGGTGCCTGCCTGATGTGTGTGGAGCTCAGAAGAGTGAATCAGTTTCTTTGGACTGAAGTTACAGGTGGTGGTGAGCCATTATGTGGATGCTGGGACTGAACCCGGGTCCTCGGCAAGAACAAAGGCTCTTAACCACTGAGCCATCACCATCCCTGTAATGTAATAATGTTTTTAATAACCCGTTACTACATAGTGAAGACGATTCAATCTGTATACATATATTCAGGTAGATATACCGATTTCTATGCTCTTACACTTAGCCAGCCTTTTGAAGTAGCTGGCTCCTGGTTGGCGTACACTTTCTAAGATGTATCTGTTCTGTCTTGGTAGATCCAGGCTGGCTGGCTAGGGAATGAATGAATCGTCAAACCCAATCACTGTGTCGTCGTCATCGTCGGTGCCACAGATGTAGTAAATAGCATGTTTCAAATATGTCCGCCTTGAAGATGGTGTGTGATTAGCAGTTAGTTGATAAGATGCCAGTACAATGTTGTTGACTTTGTAGTCCTGTTTGCCACCACATATAATCTCAGATAGTGAATTCTTAAAAAGCCCGACTTAGAGGACTTCTTTTCCATCCTAGGCTCTGTCAACAGAATCCATCGAGAGACTCCCTGTGTATAACAAAGCTGCCTGGAAGCATTACAGAACCAACCATGAGGCTGATGACTGGTGTGTCCCCAGCAGAGAGCCGAAAGACATGACCACATTCCGAAGCTCCTAGATGCACGTGGGATGCCTGGACAGTCCAAGTGTGGCTTTTGCTAAGTTTGGATAAGATGTGTTAGGAGCCACATTGTACCAAATACGTCACGTGTGATTTCACAATTGTGTTTGCCAAAGCTCCTAAAGGATCAATTATACCAACTTTATTCTGTATGTTTGATTAATTGGACATACTTTTAAACACTCATCATTTTGGTCAATTCCCCTATGTGTGGTAGACTTATGGAGTGTGAAGTCTCTGGGTTTCTGTAGGAAGTTGAGGGTTGTTTTTTTTTTTTTTAAGTTTTCATTTATTTCTGCTAAAAACATCTAAAGAAAGCGGAGTAGCTGGTTAGTGGCCTGCTTTTGGAGTTCTGTCATCTGTTAGTAGTAATGCCTCATCAGACGGTTTTCTTGTCTCCCACGAAAGAACACAGTGGTACCAGTAGGGCCTTTAAGCATCTACATGCATTGTCTGCTAAAATTACTTGATATGGAATAATTTTTTTGCAGTGCATTAGTGATGACGGTTCCCCACAGAGCTAAGTCCAGACCATGTACACTGTGCTCAGGATCAATGCAAGGGATTTTCTTTAGAAATAATGTCTCACTGTGTCGCCCTAGCTGGCCTTGAACACAATGCCCTTCCTTAGCTTCCTGAGTGCTGCCCCAGAAGGGTGTGTCTGGCTGATGAGAGAAATGTTTATTCCTCAGACAGGCAAAGGAGCATCAGAGGGTAAACCAGGGGGAAAGGGCCAAGTGCCCCCGACTGAGCCATTGATTTGAGATTGTCTGACGGAGCTCTGGAAAGACTGAGTTTCTCTGGGTCTGCTCCCGGCATCCAGAGGCTGAAGGCCGGAGATGAGTTTCTCAAACTAGGCAAGGCTCATGGCTGGCCTGGCTGAAACCACACTTCAGAGTGAATCGGGACACCACTGCTGTTGGCAAAGTGACGGATTGGTAGCCTTTGGTTCCCCCGTTTCCAGGTCAGATTGCTAGACTTTAGGGGATGTAATCTGAATCTCAGGCCTGGTACAATTGAAAGCGGAATCAGGAACAGGGAGACTAGGATGATTTTAGTCACCTTGGTTTTAGTGGTGACTCTAAGGACATGTAGTTTTCTAAAAATACTCAGATTTTTTTTTAATCAGAAAAGTCATCTTAGATTGATTACAAAAATGCTTTGTATCTGTATGGTAATTTAAAGTTTGCAAATGCTTTGAAGTATTAGGACGTTATTTGTGTCAAAACACAACGCTGTGGAGCAGCCTGTGACAGCTTGGTTCTCACTCAGAGTGAGCCAGAGTCACACAGAATTGGAGCCACAGCCTGAGCGATCCCTCCCTTCTGACCACTGTCATCTATCAGGGACGTTCTTACTGCATCTATTAGTGATGAAGAAATACTTTAAAAAGGTATTTGAAAGTGTGCTTTGCCACTTAACTGGAGGGACTTGGGGGTCTGGTTTGGAAAATGCTATGAGTTAAAACATCTCACTCTTGACAGGATTCATCAAACTTCACCATGTCCCATAAATATATACATAATACAAAAGCCAAATCATGCAACATGGCACAAAATAGAATTTTTGTACCAGACAATAGAAACATGTAGATTGAGAATGCTCCAGGGTGGTCAGTCCAGGATCCTCAGGTGAGAGGTGAGGGAGCTGAAACTCAGGTCTTATTGGCGCAGAAATTTTTAGCTAACACGACCAAATGTTGGAAAAGACACACCTTATACCTGCTGTTCCTAATTGAGGACTTTGTAAGAAATAATAGACTATGCTCATGAGTGACATTTACTCCATGTATTACACTTATTAGCTTTAAATTGCATTTTCTTGCAATGATGAAATATTTTGGAATCTTTTGTACAACTCTCAATAAATGTACTATTTTTACTTGTGAAATACTTTTCCCTCTCCAAGAAATTAAAAAGCCCCCCCCCATTTAAGAGCTAAAAAATGTTTTCAGACAAGAAGTAAAATGATTTTACTTTAGTCTCTTTTTAAGGTGTGCCACCTTTTTGCTTTGTTATCATGGTTATGGATGGAAAATTGTGTGTGAAAATGTTCTGGGGCGGGCCTTTTTCAGAGTTACTTTTAAAGATACCTAAAAGGTTTATAGGTTCTTAAGGTGAGCTGTTTTGTCCGCCAGTATTGATTTTATGTGGTGTAGGTATAAAAATAGATTGATGCTTGGGGATTGGATAGCAAGTGATTTTTATAACCTGGGCAGTTAATGAGCATGCCAGTGCATTGTAGGAAAGGGACTGAAGGATATTCCACACCGAAGTTGAAAAGCTCGTGGTTTTGATGCCTTGACACTTAACAGTGGTCAGTGTCTTCCTCTGTGGAGTTCCTATATGGAGATACTGAAGCAGAATTTTCCTGTAGCTTGTCTTCTCGGTGACAGTAAGCTGAAAACATGGATCAGCTCTTCTTAAATAAATTTGAGTCACTTAAGGAATTTTAGAAATATGCCCATGTCTGTTAAAGAGCGATCTCTTTCATCGAGGCTCAACATTGTATAAATGTTCAGGAAATTGGAACTAGGTGCCAGCACGCTGGCTCGGCAGGTAGAAGCAA